AGGTCCCACAAACCATAAGATCCACGCGATGAAGCTTAATTAACAAAGGTTCCAAAAAATACCAAAGTTACATAAGCTAAAGGTTAAGCTTTACCCCTTTATGCATGAACATGAGCATGACTTTTGAGGGAATCAAAACTACAAACTGGTTTATGAATGTGGATGCTGACCAGAAGGAGACGTGTAGATGAGCATGATAAAAACCCTAAAGCCAAGGATTGAATCGTCGGAGATTATTTACTTTCTAATTGCCCTTTCTTTAAAACGAAAACAAAAATTGTCGTTTTTCCTTTCTTTTTTTAACCAATTCTCGTGATGTATATTAGAATGTGAACTTCCTTTTTTATGTTGAAACAAAGTTATATACTGTCTAACTTTTGTTCGAACAAAGTTACCATCTCCAAACCAAGCAATGTGACATGAAAGGATCTTAAAGCTCCGCATAGAATAATATATGAATACATATAAGCTTAGATGAAATATGAGATTTCGAGCTGGCACTTGGATGATACTGAAACTCCAAGTAGCGTCATTAGATCGCTATAAGTTTGCGATATCATGGCATCATCCACCACAACATCTTCCGCAATCTGCACTCGCACTACTTCGAGGCTTTCTGTTCCCCCGAGAAGACTCTTCAACTGTTCCAACTCTTTAGCAGTTGTTCCATAACCGAGAACGTGCAACACCTTCACTTGGAATGGACACCTGGTAACATCGCTTGTGTAACCATCCAGGCCTTGGAGAAGCATCAATCAAGAAACATGCATGTAAAGATCAATGATATGTTCGTTTAGAGGGTTTTTGGTTATGATATGTGTGTACCTGGATGGTTAGTGTTTCAAGCTTTGGAGATTGCTTAAGCAGATATGGCAGCAGTTTCCAATTGCGCTTGTTCTTACTCCCAAAAGATAATTTAATCAGATTGTAGATTTCGTCCATGTTTAACACATCGAGCAATCATCTGAAATATACACACACACATACACCCACATGTTTCAAGAATGTTCAAAGCTATTCATAAGTTTACAAGGAAAACTAAATAAACAACAGAACTTTGTTATTGGGAAAGCTTACATCAGCAGAAGCAGGAGTTAGATGCAGAGTCTCGACGTTGCTTATCCCTGTAGTGAGACCTGTTAAATCCGGCCTCTTGATTTGTTCTCCAGAATAATGAATATCCAGCTTAGCTTCGACCAGGGACCCAAATTAACTTGAGGATACTTATACAAGGCATAATCATAGTAGTCGAGAGAGACAAGATTCGAGGCGTCAAATGACATACCATGGGCCATAAAATCAACTTCAGACTCAACATCATAGTAAACTGATAGTTTCTTGATGGTCTTACTCGCTATGCACCATGGCATTCCTTCGAAATCCTCGTGATGTACAGATAACTCCTCGAGCACTGGACAACCAGGCAGAAGCACCTTATACAGATATTCACCAGTGAAAAAGATCGAATCGATGAAGAGACTCTTAAGAGCTAGAAGACACATATCTGGAGGAATATTCCCAAGAGTAATCTGTGTTCCAAGTGTGAGCTTAACCAGAGTCTTGCACATTACGAGCTCAAAACCCAGAAAGATTTCACCGGTATCTTTAGGTCCTATCACAACACCAAGCTCAGAAGGCGGACAACGATTATAGCGAGTCTTTATACTCAGTTTCAGTTCTGAAACACCACGCTCTACTGCATTATATATCCAGGGGTTTACATCACCCATCTCCCAGCCCTTGTGAATGTGATATTTTAGAGCGAATTTCTTGATTGGAGAAGCGCATTGCAAAGCGGAGTGTTCTATCGACAAAATTCTTGAAGCACTCTCGGGTCACATCCGTCTCTTCTTCACCCTGTTCCGGTTGCCGCAAGACAGAATCATCAAAATCGAGATTATGCACCAATGTAAACACATTCCTCTATTTTTTCGAGAGAACAGATGTTGAAGCAGCCCGTTTTGTCGAAACAAATGACAAGATGTTTCCAAAAACATCTTCAGGGAGCAAGTCAATAATAGGGTGGACAAATT